ACCATATATATATATATATTGGCTTTATTTTTAGGTATATAAGAATAATTTATATCCTTAAATTTTTTAGTTGATCTCACTTCGGTTGCCAGGTTTCTTTCTTCTCCACGCAGATGATGAGTGTTCAAATCCTGCCTCGAATGAAAAGATATAAATATTTTTTAAACGGGCTTGTTTTTCTGGTAAGCGGCCTGGCTATTCCGAAACTGAAGAGATGGGCTGGCAGTATATTAAAACTGAACCAAAAATTGAATAGAGGAAACAATTTATATGTATATATATTATTTTTTTATTGCAGGAGCAGTTATTTTATTAATGAAAAGCAATTTTTTTTTTAATGAAGACCTATTTTTTTTATGAAGAGCTGTTTTTTTTAATGACTTTAATTAATTTTCTCATAAAGTTTTGGGTTTTTCAGACTATAAATAGGACAATGATAGGAGAAAATGGTGGAGTATCCATCCTTGCCTAACAGATGATTTGGGAATTCCCAAAAGAAGAAAGTTGTCCCCGTCATTCGTAGCAGGCAAACAATGAGATCTTCTTTCTCGTTGTGGTGAATGGTTGATGAGAAGGGTTGTGGCGAAGAGTTGCAGTGAAGTGTTGTAGCGAAACGTTGCGGCGATGCGTCGCGACGACGCTACACATTGTGGTGGTGCATTGTGACGGTGTGTCACGGCGACGCGTTGTGACGGGGAGTCAGAGAGACGTGACGCATTGTGGCAGAGAGTCGCGTATTCCAAAGGAGATTCCCATGCCACTATTGCATGTTCTGAAGGTAATGAAGAAATGATGTAGTTTTCTAGCCTCAGCATGAAGGGGATTTTCATGCTTATGTAGTAGCGATATTTGAAAACCTCTTGACGATCATCAAAAGTAATAAAATTTTAGAAAGGCGATGCCCACTCTAATTGAAGAGGAATTGATTTGTTGTAGCCCTTGTACATGTATATGTTAGTATTTGTAGTTTTTTTAATCATCTGGTGTGACAATTATAAATGATAACAATGTATTTCTTTGTTGCTTTCACGGTTGTTGTGGCTTCTTAATTATGCAAAATTCTTCTGAGTCTCGTAACCTTCTGAGAAATTTTATGACTTGTGTCTTCGGAGGCTTGTAGCCTTCTGAGGTCTTTGATATACATGTGTCTTCTGAGACTTGTAGCCTTCCCAGGTCTTTGGTGTACATATGTCTTATGAGGCTTGTAGCCTTCTGAGGTCTTTGAGCGTACCTATGTCTTATGAGGCTTGTAGCCTTTTGAGGTCTTTGATGTACTTGTGCTTTTTGAGACTAGTAGCTTTCAGAGGTTTTTAAGTGTACTTGTGTCTTCTGAGGCTTGTAGCCTTCTGAGGTCTTTGATTGGAGACCCCGTCAACCACGTGTTCTCATGGAGTCTTTCTAGTGATGACCCTGTCCACTACTAGCTTCCCATTGAGACTTGCCTCTTGGGCTCGTCTTCCAAGGGCATGATGGTTTTTCATTGAGTATTGCCTCTCATGCTTTACTTTTAGGATTATAGTATCTTCATGTCGAGTCTTGCCTCTTGGGCTCAATTTTTATGGGCATGGTAACTTCTCATCCTCAAGGGGGCTTTCTAAAAAAAAAAAAAAAAACTTTCATGGGAAAATGAGAAAATTTCAATGAAATGACATTTAAAGCAACATGAAAATTTTGCTAAAATAAAATTAAGAGTTTATAAGCCAGTCTTTTACTCATATAAGATGAGTTGGAGTTATACTTCTTATTCGATAACTCCAACAACTCTCTTATGGTTCCCCATCACATTGTTCTTATAAGTAGCGACTCAAGTGACCTTAGCGAATTAAACGTTCAATTTCGTTCTTTAATTGATAACATCTTTCTGTTGAATGTCATTTTGCACGATGAAAATGACAATATTAAGACTAGTCTTCACCATCTTGATTTCTTAACGGCTTTGGCTACTTGATAGTCTCTCCATCCTTGATTGTCATTAAGATGTTAACACGTGATGTGTTGAGTGACATGCACTCTTTTTTTTTTCTCGTTGCTCAAGATTCCTCTATGGTTTTGTTTGAAATCTTTTTCGGGTATGGTTGTTGATGTAGAATCTTTTCTTGGTTGATCTTCTTTGTTGGCTGATGTTACTTCTCTTCTTTCTTCTGTAATGTGTACAACCACTGGTTGACATCTGAAGATGCTGACTGCGGTAGTTGTGACTGACCTTGGATTACGGCCATAGCAGTCATATCAGCGGTCATTTCTTCTATCTTTTTCTCCAATGAACTAACAAGTTCATCTTTTTGGAGAAGGGCTCTTTGCATTTTTTCAACGACATTTTCATCTCGTAAGGATGCAGAAGCTCTTGTTTCAACAACATGGATATCCATGAAGTCTTCTTCAAGATAATCACTGTAATCAAAGTCTTCATCTTCTTCGCTTACAGAGACTCCATGTTCTCGAGCTAACTCATAGAGCTCAGCGCGAAGTTTGTCAACTTTATCTT